TGAGCTCACCACATGACCTCTGACTGCACGTAGAGTGAATGCGCGGATGACAGGGCAGTTCTTTGCTCTGCGGTCTTGGCCATTAGTCCCTGGATTGAGAGTGCAGCAGGGAAACAACAGGGATGAGAAACACTCAGGGGCCAGAGCCTGAATAGGGGAAGCAAAGGGAGAGGGGTCTCTGGTCATGCCCTTCTCCCACCTCCCCTGCCCTAAGTGTCATCTTCTCTCATTTTATCCTAATCACAACCCCACAAGGTACGTTATTGTGGTGATGGTGCCTGCTTCACCTATCAGAATACCAAAGTCAGAGGAGAAAAATATTCCTCATGAAAGTGTCGGAGTGAAGATCTGAGTCATGCAGTTAGACTGCAGAACCTGGGCTCTGTGCCTGGTACTAGACACAGCCAGCAAGATTTACATACATACATACATACATACATACATACATACATAAATCTGTCCAGAGGTGCATGTATGTAATAGTTTGTGTTACTTGACCATTCTGGTCATTGAAATAATCTATAAGCAGCAGTCCATTCCCATTAAATAAGATCCCCCCCCCATCCTTCCTTTTCCATTGTGCTTTGTTTAACTAGAGAAGTATAAGGGCCAGGGAGTTGAAAGCTAATAAGCAAATGCAGGGTTTAGTAAATACCCTTCCATGTGAGAAACATCATAAAGTAACACGTAGGGTCCTTTCAGAGATAGAACTGCCCTCATTGGCAGGTAGCACAGAACCCAGTGTAAAGAAAGTAAAACAAGCACAGCACCTTTATATGCTATGCTCTATACTATAGGATCAAGATGAATGATCACAGAGCAAAAATAAGTTCAGATAAATAATTAAGCATGCACTTGATAGTTGTCCTTTAAATGGATTATTATGGGCTACATGGTGCTGGTCTCTGGAGTGGTGGCCATGGCCTTGGGCCTCACTGCTGCCAATATATGGGAGCCTTTGTGGAGGGGCTGGGATTTGGGGAGGTTTGAAAGAGAACAGAGCTGGCAGATGCTCAGCAAACAATGGTTTTTAAACCTGCCCAGAATGCACTTTCTTTTCCTGGAGAAACAAGAGAGAGGATTTTATTTTAGAGAAGGATTGTGGTTTGAATTAGAATAGCACTATTGTGACAAAGTTGGTTTTCAGTGTAAGTGATGTATTTGCTGAAAACTATATCGATGACTTCAGTGGGAGCTCAGAATGGGTTATAGCTTACTTCTGTGTTTTGAAAATAAATCTATAAGCGGTAAGAGAGCAGTTCTTTAGAGTGATATTGACGTAAATGTCATTTTCCATCAGCCTGGAGTCATGGTAACATAGATTTGTTTCCCTGGATGAATGCTGGAGGTGGTTTGTTAGTATAGCAATAGAGTTTGGATGCTTCTAGAATTTCATGGAGAAAGGGTGTGTGGACATATTTGGACCTTGAAATGCTTAAAAATGTTCTGGGAAATTTGGACCAAATTTTCTAAATAGGTGTCTATTTCTCTCTCATAAGTCCACCTTTGAAAAGGTGAAGTGAAATGTCACATGGGGTAGACTAGGGATGATTCATTTGCAAAGTTTATGAGATGCTATAGGCAATGAATAGGATTCAGTATTCAATGACACCAAGAGAAACATCAAAGAGAGTCAGACCATAGATCTCAGAATACCAAAGGGGTCTTTAAACCTATCGGTTTCCTTCAAGTTTAAAATACATGGATTACATGACCTGACAAATATTAATAATGGCATCTAAGACCATTTTTGCCTGAATTCTCATGTCCTGGGGATTGGATTGGGAGTGGGCAGAGAGAAGTATGCAAAAGGCTTCGTTGGAAATGCTTAAACAAAATGTGCCCAGAAATCTCAATATATTTAGAATAATACTTTGCTCATTGATGAACTGGGGACAATTATATCCTCAAGGCCTTAAGGATTATTTATAGAAAACAAGGTTAAATAATGGCTATCTTAAGTCACGAAGACTGAAGACAGGAATTGCTATATTTGAACACTTGACCCAGAAATTCTAAGAAAACTAAAGAAAAAAACCCCAAAGCAAATTGGTAGTGAATTAATTGAAGATACATACACTATTCTAGAAATTGGTTATGAATCACTCAAATTAAGGACATCAAGAAGCAAGTAGATTGATATTCTGGGCATTTTGCTTCCTTTTCTACTTGTCTTTATTATTTTATTTGAGTCGGTATATTTTACAATTTCTAATATTATTGGATTTCTTTAAACTTTTTGTAACTTTTTAATGAAACTAATCCATCAGGTTGTAATTCAATTTGGAAAATAAAGAGACAATAAAAGATTTAGGAAGGCAAGGGAGGAAGTAGTAATATACAAAGAAACTAAATTACATATTTCTAGTCCTAAAATATCCCTTCATACATTTACTATGTATCTCTTTTTATTTAAAATTTTGAATTTTCTTTGTTTTCACGAACTAATTGGCAATGGAAATTTCTTTTAAACATTTCCATTTGCATTTCTGCTTCATGATGAAATCAACTGTTGATGTTATGTACCACTACATAAATTAGATTTGTTCCCATTTCAGGAACCTTACAAGATGTCTATTAAGCAATAATGGGAAAGAAAATGCACACAAAATAATTGTTGGCAAAATAAAATCTGGTGAATGTGGAGTTATTCAGATAATTCCAAGGAACCGGGTGCCAGTGCTTTGGCCACAAGGACATCAAACTAAAGCGGAACAATTCAGGCCTCTAATATTTCCAAATGCTTTGCCCATCTTTAACTGTGTGAGACTTCCAGATTAAGTGGATGAAAGCATGTTCTATCCTATATGCCAGTGATGGCGAACCTATGACACGCGTGTCAAAGGTGACACGCGAACTCATTTTTTTGGTTGATTTTTCTTTGTTAAATGGCATTTAAATATATAAAATAAATATCAAAAATATAAATCTTTGTTTTACTATGGTTGCAAATATAAAAAAATTTCTATATGTGACATGGCACCAGAGTTAAGTTAGGGTTTTTCAAAATGCTGACACGCCGAGCTCAAAAGGTTCGCCATCACTGCTCTATGCAGTGGTTCTCTGCAGCTTTGTTGCACTCAAGGAAAAAAACACCTTATAATTATTACCAGAAGAGAGGAGTAGAAACTTCTCAGATTTCACAAGGCCACATTGGAAACATTACATTGGCTTTCGTTTTCAAAGAGGATGCATTCTAGGGCGGTTGTCAGCCTGGAATAGCTGTTGTAGAGCTGCTGTGGATGCCGGCAGGCACCCGCCTCTGTGGGAACTGGGAAAACAGCGAGCTTGGTCCTACATGAACTGTTCTCATGAATTCTTCTAGTTGCTCAGCCTATAAGAGAAACAAAAAGACTGAGGATTATACATGTGATAAACAGAAGAGGTTAAAAATAAGCTCATTCCTTTAGTCTGTTGGCTGAATTAGGTTATTTTACTGGACTACTTGGCTATCCTTTGGTGGTGTTCTGTGGAAAAACACTCGTTGAACCTTCATTTAAAAACCTTGTCTTCTATTAGTTACTACAAATGCCATCTTAATCTACACTGCCTCATGAGTTAGAAGCCTGAGATCCCTGCTACCTCCCCCTCCCTATTGCCAATGGCCCTTGTCTTGTGGATCCAGAAAGCTGTCTCTCAAATTCATCCCCCTTCCTCTGTCCCCACTGACAACGCCTTGGTTAGGGCTAATCAGCATTAACCTGGATTTGTGCACCATTCTACAGACTCTCTTCTATTTCCTGCTCTCTTCACTGTTCCTCATGGAATCTGTGTTTAAAATCTCTGGTGGAAAGGTATTCAGAACTGTCACTACTTAGCCTCCAATCCACCTCTCCAGCCTCTCTCCTAGCTCTACCATTTACCTCTTTGTACAGCCTCAAAGCATGGAGGAATTCAGGAGGCATTTGGGCATTGGCAGTGGGGGTG